GGAAGGAAGGAAGGAAGAAGGGAGGGAGGAAGGGAGGAAGGGAGGGAGGGAGGAATAGGGAGGGAAGAAGGAAGGAAGGAAGGAAGGAAGGAAGGAAGGAAGGAGGGAGGGAGGGAGGGAGGGAGGAAGGAAGGAAAGAAAGAAAGAAGAGAGGGAGGAAGGGAGGGAAGGAGGGAGGAAGGAAGGAAGGAAGAAGGGAGAGAGGGAGGAAGGGAGGGAGGAAGGAAGGAAAGGAGAGAGGGAGGAGGGAGGGAGGGAGGAATTAATGTTAGACTAAGTTCTAAATGGATCTTCTCTAGGATAGGGAAAAAATCTGCAGCAGCGATAAACAGCTTCCATTTTCCAATTCTGAAAGTTCTAGACTTCCCTTTGAAGAAAACTCCTCTGGGTGGGGGAACGGGGCTGGAGGTGGTGGGGTACCCACCGCGACAGTTCAGCCCCATAACGAGCCAACGGCTGGGAGGCCGAAGGGATCAGGGTGGGCAAAGCGACCTTGGCAAGGTGACGGTTGGCTCTCCATTGTTTTGCTCACGCGCTGTTCTTCCTTTGGATCCGTCACTCGCTCCCCGGACCCCCGACGCCCCGGCAGAAGTCTAGAAATATTGCAACCAAACAAGTAATCAGTGCATACTTACAGAGCTGTTAAGAATCCGATTCAGCTGCCATTCTACTTGGTCTTTTTTTTTCCTTTGGCAGCCTGGTGAAAGACCTGTAAACAAATGAGATACAACTGTAGTTTGTGTAAGTATTTTACAGCTCACTGACTTCCATATGAGCAGGATTTACGGGAGCACGAGGGGCTTGACTCCTGCACCAATAATTTAAAGGGGAGACAAACACGAAACACACCGCCTGGGAAACTGGACCCCATTGAAGGATTTTACACAGAAATCAAGGCTAATCCAGACCGAAGAGACCTCCGATGGATGTCGTTCTCTTGATTTCGCATGGGGGGCGGGGGGGAGAAAATAAATCAACTGCAGATTCTCCTCATTTCGGTTTTCAAAAGTTGTTTTCATTTTATGCTAAAGTTTGGGTTTGGTCAGGTTTAGGAACTGAACGCGCACGGACACCGCTCTCGCACAGTCAGCCCCGCAAAATCATTCTTATTTGGGAATCATCTGGCTTTGAACCGCCAATTTGCACAGAAGGCCACAGATGGGAGCAAATGTACAGGGCGACGCAACTTGGAGCAAGCCACGCCCATTTACGCAAATGATGTAAAGGTAGGCACACGATGGGCGGTTTACGCAAATGACGTCTTTTTGCGCAAATGATGTAAATGTAGGCATGTGAGGTACCATTTACTCCAGTGATGTCCACTGGGCAAGGATTAAAGATATGCACCTGATGTCCATTTACACAAATGATGCCCATTTACGCAAATTTACGTTGTTTAGTCGTAAAGTCGTGTCCGACGCTTCGTGACCCCATGGACCACATCGCGCCAGGCCTTCCTGTCCTTCACTGCCT